ACAGGTTCTACTGTAAGTTTGATCTTTGAGGGTCAGACCTCAGCACCAGCTTCCACCTGAGTCCCACTAAAGACTTTTAGCTGACTACATGGTTTCAGAATACCAAAATCTTGTACAAAAAAAAGATACTAAGAGCCATAATACCAAGGCATCAAGCAATGTTTCAATGTTTAAATTTGTAAATAAGACCTTACTTATAAATAGACCTTACCTGATTTTATTTTGGTTCTACACTGCATCTTTTTCATTGGTTTGTTGCACAAAGCACACACAAAAAAAAAAAAAATACACTTACTCTTGGACGTTTATAATATATTGTGGACAATATAAATTTGCTTATTTGTCAAATATCACTCATATATTAACTAGTCCTGCAATTCTCTGCCAAGATAACTATTGCTTTTTATGCATTTTATTCTGTGAAAATCAAAAAGAAAAAGTAACGATTTTAACTCAGTTTGTTTGGGTAAAGTTACTCAAATGTTGCTAGTAAAATGTACCTGTCAGCTGTGCTGCTGCCATCAACACCTTGTTTATAGATGTTCGAGATCGGCCTGTTTTTCAGTATAGTCCTGTTTCTCTGACTATGACTGACTGGATGTGCTCTCTTTATCCTCTGACATGTGAGCTGGTTCGGAGCTTGTCTACCTGGGTTTTACAGTTGCATTTTGTATCTCTGCTTCTGTCTCCTTGAACCCCAGTCGGCCTCGGCAGATAGCCGCTCACACTGAGCCTCGATCTGCTGGAGGTTTCTTCTTATTAAAAGTGAGTTTTTCCTTCCCACTGTCGCCACAAGCATGCCTATTGTGAGGGATTGCCTTTGAGTCAATGAATCGATGCAATGGACTGGTTTTCCTTAGATAGAAAAATTGAATCAATTTGACTGTATGATCTTGAGATGACCTGTGTTGTGAATTGGCACTATATAAATAAACTGAATTGAATTGAATTGAATTATCTAATTTCATTCACTATGAAAAACTGAGAGATACAATTAGGCTAAATCTGCTTTACATTATAATACTACCGTATACATAATCTTAGAAGAATCTCAATGCAGAAAGATCCTTGACTGGGAGTAAACCCGTAAACCCACTGTGAATTTTGCCTATACACTTTGACTCCTCAACTAAAATCTGTGCTGCTTACCCAACAGGGCATCTAAATCACAGTGTAACGATACAATATCAAAATTGCTGTCGTATTCAAATAGAACAATAAGAAAACATAATTAATTTGTTTTATATAGACTTAGAAATAAGATATTAACTCTAATTTTGAACATTGTACAATTTTTCTGTGCAGCAGAGATTTTACTTCCTGATATTTTGAATTACAACCAAAAATCTTTGTTTTTATTTTATCAGATTACTTTATGTATTCTTGTTTGTTTATCCATCCATCCATTTTCTTACACGCTTATCCCAAGTGGGGTCATGAGGGGTGCTGGTGTCTATTTCCAGCTGTCTACGGGGGAGAGGCGGGGTACACCCTGGACAGGTTGCCAGTCCATCGCAGGGCAACACAGAGAAAATCAGGAAAAAAAAAATCATTCATGCACACACTCACACCTAAGGGGATTTTACAGGAGCCAGTTAACCTAACAGTCATGTTTATGGACTGTGGGAGGAAGCCAGAATACCTGGAGAGAAGCCCTTGTTTGTTTAACAAATGTAAAATATATTTTAAAAAAAACAGCTTAACTCATAGTTGATTAGATGGCAGGTTTAGTAAACAGATAGATATCATCTGTTCTGAAAATGAAAACACATGGTTTGGACAAGTGCGGTAAAACTAGTCTTTGGTTTGCGCTGAGGGTATGACAGCCATTCTTTCTGAAACGGGGCCTAGCTGGTTTGACATGGAGGCAGGTGGTGAATTTTGCTGCAGTGCCCCTCAGCTACCTTCCAGTCTACTGATATCTGGTTTGTTTTCTGTTCTGCTTTAGCATGGTGTGTTAAACGTTTACTGGCCTTAGGCTGTCAGGAAGGAAGGGGCTGACCACAAACCGTCCTGTGGTCAGTCACACATGCAGTGAAATCTGTCTCCACGTGTGTGTTAGAGTGCTATGGAGACAGAAAGAGGTTCAACACTTCCACCCTACATTTTTTTGTGATGACATAGCTGTGAACGTTTTGATCCTTCTATTATAATGTAAGTCCATGTGCCATTCACCTGTCCCTGCATTTATTTAAAGTTGGTTTCAATAGTTTAATGTTTTAAATTAGAAATAGAAGTTTTAAATTAGAAATATCTTGTGATGGGGTGAAGTGGTTTCTAACAAAGGACCCTCAATCTACAGGCTTACTGGTAATTACAAGTATGGGAGGCAGATCTTTTAGTTATGAGAAATAGATTTCCAGTTTAATATCTAAGGTCTTTAAGACTAGGGTTGTTCTTTTTTTTTTTTTTTTTAAACTAGAGTTTGAGTGGCTCAGGATATCCTGAACTACTGTATCTCTATGTTATATGGCTATAGGCTGCTAAAAGACAGGGGGACCACTTCATATCATTCTGTTTCATTCTTCTTCGGTTTACCAACTCTGCAGTATTTTTTGTGTTACCCCTGACTTTATGCTTGCCCTTCTTTTTTTGCCACAGTAAATTTATCTGGCCTTGTTCTTTTTTGCTGTCAGATCATCCTGGAAAGAAATATCAACTGGGCTGCTGCGGTCAACGTCAGTTTATATGTTGAATTTGGGTGTGTTTTCCAGTGCTTAGTCCTGTTTCTCTCCTAGACATGTGCTCAGCTTTCACTGTGATTAACTACATGTGCTCTCTTTCATCCTGTTTGAAATGAAACTGGCTCAGAGCTCATTCTAGACTGTTTTTGTCCTAGACAGAATCACCTATTGGGGTTATTTACTGTTACCATCTCTAATACAGAAAGAATTAATGGATCAGTGCTTCTCTGTTTCTTTTGTAAGTCTGCTTCTGTTTTAGTGAAACCCCAGTGGGCCTCAACAGAAGGCCATTCACAGAAAGCCTGGTTCTGTTAAAAGGGAGTTTTTCCTCTCCACTGTTGCTGCATTCATACTCGGTGTGAGGGATTGCTGTAAAGTCAACAAAACAATGCAAGCAAATTTCTACTATCCCAAAATGATATTCCAGGAGGAAATCCTGAAAATCAATTACTCAATCAGCTGGGTTTTCTTAGATAGAAAACCATTAACCAATCTGAGTGTATGAAATGATTTAATAATATCTGCAAGATTACTTAAAATTACATATGTTGTGAATTGGCACTATATAAATAAACTCAACTGAATTGAAGAAATGTAACTAAAGTCGTCAATATGGGTAATATTTTTTATATAATGTAGAAATACGGTTGAAAGAAAAATTATGTAGTGATTTAAGTTAGAATGAAAGTAACTCGGCTAGAAGGTTTTAGACTCTTTTTGTTGAAAATTATGGTAATTACAGTCAGGGTTAGATTCAGGCAGACTTATATAATTCTGTATAGTCTTTGGGTCTGTGTGTGATATTTAGTCCTAACAAAATAATTAACTTGGCTGCTCAGTGGAGCAGTGGGTAGCACTACTACCTTGAGCAAGAAGGTTCCGGTTTCGATTCCCGGCCCGGTTCTTTCTGCAAGGGGTTTGCATGTTGTCCCTGAGCATGAGTGGGTTCTCTCGGTACTCCGGCTTCCTCCCACAGACCAAAAACACGACTGTTAGGTTAATTGGCTTCTTTAAGTTCTTTG